GACAGTAATGTCCAGAAGCAAAAAACATCAAGTAAGTCACAGCAGGGTGGCAGAGAAGGGTTTGCAAGACAGCTCTCCAAAACATGGAACAAAAGCCAGGACTCCTTATCTGCACCAATCCTCTGCTAGCATTTAGTTATAAAGTCTACCGGACATTGCAACTTCTATCACTACCTCACAGTCTGTCGTTGTGCTATCATTTATTCCTTCAACACAAACAGCAACCTTGAATAAAGATATCCAAAGTAGGTTGCGTAGATTAACAGCATATTTAAATTAATAGATTGCTCTGTCCAGACTAATTACCTTTATGAAGAATTATCTCGTACTGTGTTACATAGGTACTTCCTATAGTATATAATGTTACTGAAGTTGATGTGGTTCTGCAGTTGTAAAGCTTTTAACCAGAAACACTCCTAAATTAAAATAAACTAACCAAATTAAGATTGGAGAGTCAATCTTAAATTAGGAAGGTTGGGATTATTTAAAGAGAAGCCACTCTGTCTGCAGGATTTCTGCCTCTTTCAGTAACAATGCCTCAAGACCTCAAACATAGACCACTGCCTCACATTATTATGGATTCTACAAACAGTAGGGAATTCTTACCTAAATATATCTGGATTTCTGTATGTAAGAGCTTTATCATGTAGTAGTTATGGAAATTCACCAACTGCTTTGCACTCATAATTGCTTAATTTTTGTGTATTTGTAGAAGTCCGTCATGGCATGAGCAATTTGTCTTTGAAATAATTACTTGAAAAGTCTTGTACCTTGAAATAGCTTGAAAATATCCTCATTAAAAATCCATTTAAAATGCTAATATCTAGATGAAAAAATAAACTGTTTTTTTTCTTTCAATAAAGATTTAAGATTTTTCTTTCGATCTTAATCTCCCTATTTTATGCATTATCTATCAAGTACGTACCCAAGATTTAGAAGATATACAATATATATATACACACACATATTGTGGGCAATAATGCAGTCAAAGGGTTTTTGGAAAACCTTTAAAAATTAGCAACTGATTTTTTTAATCCAGTATCTGAAATAAGTAAGCTGACCACACACATTGTTGCCATACTTCTAAAAGCATCTGAACTAGGATCCATCCCTCTGGAACAAGTCAGCTACAGCACTGATGCACTATTCTCCCTCTGTGAGAGAAGAGGCAGCTCTCTACCGTGATTTGCCCACTTTGGGCCTATTCTGGTGTAGTTAAGGCAGAGGCCTGTAATATCTTTAAATTAGAAGTGTATTCTTCAGGACATATTTGCAATTAGATTGCCTTGAATCCAAATACATGCATACCAAAATAGTGTAATCAACAACAGTATGTGAGCACTTTGTAACACCATTATAGCACATCCAAAAACAATGCATAGGCATTTTAATTAAGTTTGTGAGCAATGTGACCACCAACGGGGCAAAGACATATGAAGCTGCACGTAGGAGGTATCCAGGTTAACAGAAGTTGCTAGATGAGGCACAAGGTAAGCAGAAGAGACTGAAAACAGCCTGCTGAAAACACAAGAGGGATGATTAGCAAAAGCAAACCCAAAATAAACAGCATGGGGAGCTGCTGAGATTGCCCTTTGGAGGTGGAGGGGACAAGAAGCATAAAGCACTGACAATGACCAAGGAAAGATGGAGAAGAAAGTCAACAAGACCACTTCAGTTCCAACTTCTCTCATCAGAGTTGTTCTTCTCTCTCAAGTCTGATCACTTTGACCTCCATGATGAAGAAACATCAAGGACCCAAGCCATCACTGCTAACTATATGGCATCAGCATCATGGCATTGTATACTTACTGCCAATTTAGGATATGATTGTTAAGGAATAACACTTTTATACATGTAGTAATAGTGATTAACTGTGTAAGATTTACTTATTAGCATGACGTTTATTGTTAATAAATGTAAGGTTTTGTTTTAAAGTTTAAAAATGGCCTAATTAGTCAGTCTTCTAAACATTCCAATCACAGAGATCTCTAATTCCTTAACAGTGTATTTATATGTGTATATATGTTACTGCATACACACTATGTGTACTGTGTACATACACACAGAGAGATCATTTCCTATAGCTATACACACACACACAGAGGCACACACATCTATTCTGTTGCAACACTGGTCAAGTATATCTGTGGTTTGCAGCCATTTCCTTCTTGGCTATTTTCTCTCTTTTGTCATAGAATCATAGAATAGTTTGGTTTGGAGGGGACCTTTAAAGGTCAACTAGTCCAACCCCTCCTGCAATGAGCAGGGACATCTTCAACTAGATCAGGTTGCTCAGAGCCCCGTCCAACCTGACCTTGAATGTTGTCCTTTTAGGTCATTGTGGCTGGCTTCTCCTCAAGCTGCTGAAAGGCTGTGAAGGACAGAGGACCTTCTCCCCTCAAAAGTGCAAAAGCAGCTTCAGCTCCCCACAAATCACTTTGTGTTCGTTAAAAACACTCTCCCTGCCTTTTCCTATATGTGTAGGAAAACACCATCCCAGCTCTTTCATCAGTACATCTACTGATACAGTAGACAGTAATATGAATGTGGGCAATTTTAGTACAAAGCAGCATGACTGATGAAGTTGCTCCTATTTGTCTGTGGACCTCACATGTTCTTCTGGGAATACCAAGAATGTATTCCCTCCCCATGCCCTCTACAGTGATGCCTATACACTGCAAATAACAAATTGCTGCTACATCAGCATCTCACTGATTGCAAAATATCGAAGTAGCTGTTCAAGCTAATTTTTGGTCTCTAGTGTCTTACCAGAATAATATACTCTGGATGATTTGCACCTTAAAAGAAAAAAAAAAAACCCAACAAAACCCAAACAGAAAACAAACAAACAAATCTTTTCAGGAGTCATAATTTAGAATAGAGTTTTAATAATTTCATTTGCAACTCTTTTAACATATGACAAATAGAACAGACTTTAAACTAATACCTAGTTACAATATATATGCATTGCATGTACTGTTTGAACTGTAGCTTAATTATGCCTGTTACAGTACATAGTGCCTTGATTTTTAAAATAAATTTTAATACAGAACCCATATGATAGCATTCTGGCTCATTCTAGCAGAAAATTGGTTATTAAAGATCATGAAAAGACAAATTTTATAGTATCACTATTGAAACAGAATGTGTTCACATTTTTAATAAAAAAAATCTTCTTACCAGAAGCTGTTCATAATGACAGTAATTTTTATATCACTGGGCTTGCCTGCACCTGTCAACTAACCAACTGATCATTAACTGCTAGTACAGATTTATTTCCTTATGATTTTGCCTAGTTAATAAGATAGATGAAATAGGCCTAATTGCAAAAACCACACATTGCTTCATGCTTCTCTTTTCTCCTTCCCATTTATAGAATGTGGGCTGGCAACTGGTGGCATAACAGACAATAATATCTATGCGGACAACTGTAATACAAATCAGCATTACCAACCAAGTTGCTCCTACTTGCCTGTGGACCTCAAGTACTCTGCTAGGGATACCAAGAACTGATCCCAACGACTGATCCCTTATCTTCCTGTAAGTATTTATACTGCAATGAGTATCCACAAATTCTTCATAAGAAATCCATAGCAAGGCTCTTTTCAGAATAAAGCTGCATCACATTTGGTAAAA